ACACCAGTGCATATGACAATATCCTTGTCTCGAGGAAACTGATGCTATGAGGAAGCCAGATCTGCTATCACGGGTTATCTGATTTGTACAGAGGGGGCCGGAGAACACAGCCAGTGGGAGAGCGAGCCCAGTAAGACCATCCCAGCCCAGAGACTTTCATCAAAGGCTCGATAGGTGTATAGCAACAAAAGGAGCAAAGCCTTTGGGAAGGCCTGGCTCACAGAGGCGCCCAGTGGTGTTCTGTGCACAATTCCCACCTTTGATGTGCCCTGAGCATTGCTCAAAGAGGGCAAAGCACCTCAGCGGTTTCTAAAAGGGCCCTCTCGGGTCTCCCAGAGTCTTCGAAGACTGGGATTTCTTGGAAAGAGCTGTGGGGGAGACATCACCAACAGCAGCCTCCACAGAGGTTGTCGGCAGGGCTCTGCTGCGTTATTTCCATGGACCTCCGGTCAGGATTCTGCTACGAGATGCCTCTGGCAGGAGAGAGCTCTTCCCACACTGAGGCCACTTTGAACTTCTGTGGCTCTTCAGTGACAGAAGGGCACCGTGGATTCTTTTAAACAATAACCCACGGGGAGGGAGGATGAGTCAGCATCCAAATCTTCGTGTAATTATCTCCAAGGACCGTAGCATCACAAAGGGAAAGACGCACGAAGTGGTCCTGTGCATTCGAACCCTAATTGTGGCAGCAAACAGCGGGGTTGTTTTTTCCTAGTAAACCCTTATGTGAAACTTACTGTAAGAATGGGACTTCTTTGATCAAAAAGGGGTGGGACCCCCATTCTCTCCCCTGAATGATGACGTACAACACTAAAATTATAAAATTACTGATTTCGTTTATTCTTCTGGCTCTGAATGAGAAAGCATTTATACCATTGCAGATGCACAGACGATGACCATGTTGTAAAAATTGTCGAAAAAAAAAAAGGATTTTCATGGTGTCTTCCTCTCTTTTTCTTGGTATACAGATCCTCCTAAGCACGGTGCTGTTTTTTATCTGTAGAATCTAAAAACAGCCCAGTGCTGCTATGCTGCTTGCTCTTGGTCTGCCTTCAGTCTGGAAGGTCTGGAAGACCCTAAATTTTCTAAATTTTCTGGTGAAAAGAGTCGATCTGGTTTCCATCAGAAGAAATGTGCACCATTAACTCTTGGACTTGTGCCTGGCCTCCGTGAATCCCACAGCCTTTGTCAGCTCTGAAGTGGGTCCTTCCTCTTCCAGGTTTCCAACAGGCTGCTCCTTCGGGGGTAAAAGAAATGTGTGTGCCACAAGGGAGGTGGCAGGGCCCTGCCCGCTGGGAGCTGCCCCAGCCTGCTGGGCTCCTGGGTGTCCCAACCCTGCGTTTACCCAGAGACAAGAATAGGACTCTTCATGTTTAATTAAAAACAGGATGTCCCTGCTCTGACATCGCTAAAAATAAAGCCCGGAAGTAGCCTGGCCTCTTCCTGGTTTAATTCCATTAAATTTGGGGTGAAAACTGGAGCTAATAGAACACAAGACTGGCTCCAGATCGTGCCTGGGGTGGTGTCACTCCGCTCTGGGTCGTAGGGTCCCAGATCTCAGACCTGTGTGGCTATCGGAGCCCACGGAGGGACTGCCCCCAGCGCAGTCCTGCGAGGCCACTGTCCACTCCCCGGCTGGGACACCACGGGCACGCAGCCCCGCGGTGCCCTGCTCTGTGTGTGGCCCCCGCACCACAGCGTGTTTCTGTGATCAGTGCTCTCCCTGGTGAACTGATGGACAGAGGAGGAAGAGTCTACTCCGAGTGCCCAGCGGGAGCTGCCGGATGGGCAGTGGCTTGTCTGCTTGCTTGGTGCTGGAAGTTGTCCTCACTTCTCTGTACCAGCTCTGCTGCCTTAGCTGAGCAAAGTCGTGGACTCTGCTGCTCAGGACTGTGCTTCCCATCACACGCACGGGGCTGGGTCTCCTGCTCACCACGCAGCCTCCAGCGTGGCAGGGTGACCGGCCTCAGGCAGCCAGTCCCGACCTCAGGGGACGACAGCTCCAAAGCGCCCAGCCCAGCAGGTCTCGCTCCCACCCAGGGTCCCCGAGGGTGTGGTGGCCGCTCATGGCCATCGGGAAGTCGTTCCTGGAGTGACCCCCACCTAAGCAGAGGGTGCTGGGAAACGGGGTGCTCTGAGTCTGCAGCCTGGGGTCTGCTGCGTCCTTTCTTAGAGTGTGGGGGAGACAGGAAAGAAGTGAGAGCTCATCCGTCTGGAGAGTGCTGTGCCCCCACCTCCAGCCCTGAGTGGACAGGAAGCAACTGTGGACTCAATTAGGAATGACCGTTGTCTAATGCTCCGAGCACTTCCGCCTGAAAGGGAGGAGCAGAGGTAGATTCGGGGTGGGTCGCCAGTCCGAAAGTCACACTGAGCACCGTGTCCGTCCTTGGGTTGCTTCTGGGAGAAGCAGGTTCCTCACCTGTGTGGGGCCCCGGCCGTCCCGTGCTGTCAGAGCGCACTCCTCACGCTGTCCCCTCTGCTGGGGCCCCTCACGTCACCTCGGGCACCTGCCCGCCTGGGCACACCCCGCAGTGATCTCACACTCACTGTGAGCGCCGTGGGAGCCAAGACAGGGCGCCCGAAAGCCCGCCTGAGGCAGCAGCTCATAAACATCTGACCAACGGGTGGATGGCGGAAGGAATTGAAAGGGGTCAGCGAAGAACAAGGGCTTCCTAACCTGGAGCCCGCGGATGAGCCCCTGAAATTGCCTGCATGGCTGAGGGTGCTTCCGCAGAACATTTGGGGTGAGGACGTCATGTGAGTGTGTTTACTACACATATTAAGAGAGAGAGGAGGAAAAATAAAATGGATGGAAACAGAATAAATATAGAAGACAAAGGGGGAACTTTTTTGTTTTGTTTTTTGAGATAGTACTAGGTAGTCCAGGCTGACTGTAAACTCACTAAGTAGCCCAGGCTGGCCTGGAACTCACAGCAACTCTCCTGCCTCAGCCTCCCATGTGCTGGGATTACAGGTGTGCGTCACAACACCCAGCTTAAAGGGGGAACTTTGTAAAAAGGTAGAGTAGAAGACAAGTGAGAGAAGAAAATGACCACGTGGGAAGGTGACTAGGGTGGGAGACGGGTATTGCTGGACACAGCAATAGGACAGAAGACCACAGCAGGCTTCCTGGAGAGGCTGATTCCCTAGCTGCCCTAGCACTCAGGTAGGCACTGAAGGAGGGCAGGGAAGAACGAGAGCACTCCGGCAGGGAAGGGTGTGGACAGAGATGCTGGTCCAGGAGAACAAGGTGTGTGTTAGACAGGTTGGGAGACTTGGCGACAGCAGTCTTTGTGAGCAGCTGGCTCGGGGGACACAGTGGGTCCTTTGGAGCAGCCAGGGTCAGGGCCTTCCACAGGCGGGACCGTGCTGGGGAAGTAGACAGGCCTCGCCTGCACTCTGCCATCTGGACCCTGCGTCTGTGGTTCTGAGACTCCTGGACTCCAAATCACCATACACAGACGGTGTCTGCAGGGTGTGTGTGTACATGTATGCCTTGGAACCCAGGTTCAGGTTTGCCAGACTGAGTTAAAGAAAAGCCCTGTGATTAGCAAAGAAATCCCAGGTGAGGTTCTAGCCCTCAAGACTTTAGCTGGGCCTCCCTAACCCACCTCTATTCTGTATCCTGCCCCAGCTCCTCCCAGGACTGAGGGTGCCCCTGCATGGCCCACGGCACCGCAGCCCTCTGCTGTCGATGGTGTAGACTGGACAGCAGGGCCAAGGAGGAAGACAGCTGTGCCTGCATTTCTCCAGTGAGGCCATTGCCCATGCAGGGCCATGCCCTTAGACCTGACCTTCCTGCTGGGTTCCTACAGGGAGGCTCTTGTGCCACTCACAGGGCCAGGGTTTGTCTAAGACAGACCCAGGAGCTGGCTTGAGGGTCTCCAGGGCTGAGTGAACCCGGGGTCAGTATGCTGGGTGACTCTCACTTTCATTCTTGTCTTCTTGGCTGAGACTGGATTATTTCCTGTCCAGAACATTGCAGAGACTTCCGGCAGGGTGAAGGTTTTAACTGCCAGAATCGCTTTGGCCTCTCCCCTGAAGGCTGTCTTCTCCCATCACCTTCCTCTTCTGCACTCTCCACTGCCTTGCTGGGCTCAGAATTCCAGAAGGTTCTAGAATTTTCTCCCCACTTCCTGACAAAACATACTTTTTCTGAAGCCAATCTGATTAGCAAAGTCATGATCTGGGGCACACATGGTGACTTAACATTACTCTTCCCAAATACCAACTTCCTTCTTAGATTATTTTCGTCAGTCTGGGTTTGCAGTAACGATTCCGTCTGTAGTAGGGCTGGCCCAGGTACAGAACACATCTGTATCCTTGTTACTTTCCCTTCCCCTGCTCTGCCTTTCTCCTCCCTCCGTCTCTTGGTCCCCTTCCCATTTATGAAAGACCCATCTTCCTGGCCTCTGAGGTCTTCCTGAGCCCCCGGGAGGCCCCAGGTGGCAGGGACAGTTTGCACACTGCTCACAGAAGCGCTTCAGAATGGCCTCCCTGGCTCATCCCATAGATGTGACCACCTCGTTCGGGCTGAGATTGTGAAATCGTCTTAATCCCAAACTCCAAGGGCGGGTTCTTTCCCCCAGGACTGGGAAGGACTGGGGCCCACTGCCTGGCTCTGGGGGATAGATAGGGACGCACTAGCGTCCACCTGGGGCCTGTCAGGTGCCTGTCGTCCTCTGAGGCCACATGGACACCCTGCAGACCCCGAGGGCTGACCTCTACCTCCTTGCTCTGGTGGCAGGCGCTGGACTACAGGCCCTGCTCTGTCCCTGCCCTGCTCTGGGGCCCTGTGTCTCAGCAGTGTCCCAGATTCCCGCCCATATTAGCCGCATGGACACAGCGGTGCGGCCCTTCCCACTGCTGTCACTGCGAGCTCTGCGTCCCGCACTAAATCACTAAATCCAGCCCCCTTCAGCTTGGGGCACTTGGAGGCTGACGGCAGGACTGGGTGCCACCTGTGTGCCCATCTTACGGCCCTGCCCTTTGGTCCTCAGGCCATCTACAAGATGGTTTCCTCTGTAATGAAAATGCCTGAAGATGAGTCCACCCCGGAGAAGAGGACGGAGAAGATCTTCCGCCAGATGGACACCAACAGAGACGGTAGGATGGGGTGCTGGCGGACCTGCTGGGGCTCGCTCCTCAAGGGCAAAGTCGGGGGTCCCGTACAGGCCCCTGGATGCTGAGAAGGAGATGGGTGGGAGCTGCAGGTCTCCACCCATGGCTGAGACCCACATGGGGCTAGTGGGGGGGGCTGGAATGCACCTCAGGGCAGGCAAGTCCCGGTGGTCAGGCAGCCGTGCAGCTACAGGAGGCCATGTTATGGAACGTGGGTGACAGTTGGGACATGCTTGTACGAAGGAATTGAGTGCCGCTTTCTGACACTTGGGCCTAGCGAGGCACCCTCATTGAATCAGATGAATCTGGCAGTGCTGTCCAAATGCAGGGCGTGAGTTTAACACAGAAGCTCCTCTGCCTCACCTGGAGCCCTGCAGCTCTCTCTGGTACCGGCTCACCACTCCGCCCGGGGGCTTGGCAGCTCCTGTCCGCACTGTGGCCCTCACATCTCTGTGGTCCACAGCTGAGCCGGCCTCTGTGCCACGTCTGGCTCTGGTTGCTGGAATCCGGGTTTGCATCCAGTGTGTTTGTGCCATGGGGTGCAGGCCTCCTCTTACCTCCTCTTTCCCTCCTGTGCCTGGATTCACGGTAGATAGCTCCACTGTTTGCAGAGATTAAACAGACACAGGAGGGTTTCACCAGCTACTGGACTTGATTGTGAGCTGCAGTGCTGTCGGTGTGCAGGGAGCATGGTGGCCCTGGGCTCAGACGGGTGGGACAGTGCCGTACTCAGAGTGGGGTCGGCGTCCCAGCAGGGCAGCTCTCACCTGTGTCCTGGGCTTCCCTAGGACAGACTGGTGTTTAAACAAAAAAACAAAGACGGCCTGGTGTGCTGTCAGAAGAGAGGAGGAGGGGAAAGGCTGTGAGTGTGCGCTGTCAGAGGTCCTTTAGCTCGGTGCTCGGTTTCCAACCCCAGGGTGGAGGCCACCTGTCCCCCCCAAACCTGAGGGATAGCAGGACTCAGGCAGAGTCCCCCAGATTGGACACTGCCTGCATCTCATCCATGGCCTCTGACTTGGAAAGTTCAGCTGGGAGCCGGCCCTGAAGCCAAGTCCACACAGCATGGCTGGATGTCCCGGGGAACAGTGATCCCGCTGCTGTGGTCCCCAGGCCTGTCTGTGTGCAAGTGAAGGCTCCTGTTTTCTGTCCCTCTCCGCGGGTCATCACCATGTGAAGGAGAGCACGGGCAGGGCCACAGCTACCAACAAACGGCCCTGTGGGTCTCTGGAACGCTGCTCACCTGGGCTCTACCGAGGCGGCAGGCAGCGGATTGGCTGAGGCCACCACGGGAAGTGGTGAGGTGGTGATGCTGGGCAGCTGCAACCACCTGCACTCACTTCCCCGTCCTCTTCCTCCTAGGAAAACTCTCCCTGGAGGAGTTCATCCGAGGGGCCAAGAGCGACCCGTCCATCGTGCGCCTCCTGCAGTGCGACCCTAGCAGCGCCGGCCAGTTCTGAGCTTCACCCACGAGTCCCGAGCTGCTTGTGTCCTTTCCACTCTTGTTTAATGAGTTGTTTTTTGCCAAACAATACTGATGGTGGCACTGTCCTGTGCAGTCGGACGCACCTTCTTCTGTGACACCTTCGCCCGCAGCTTTGTTGTGGTGGTGGATGCTTCGTGGGAACGCAGAGCCCCGTGTGCTTGCGGAGAGCATGAACAAACATGGTGTTGTTGCTTCATGACTTTCTAACCGTTACTATTATTTGTTCTTTGGAGCCTAATGTCTCTGTTCTAAAACCTAAGACTTGGCAGGGGAGGAGACCCCATCCAGCCCGGTGATTCCACTGCAAGCTTTTGGGGGCTTCGTTCGCAAGCCCAAACCCAGCTGGGTTTGCTGTCGCACACACCCTGGGGCCACGGATGGCACCAGAGGACAGGTCAGCCTCCGGGAGGGCTGTGCCAGGGCACTGGGCACCGTGTAAACCCATTTCACGGCCCAGTAGGCTGTAGTGTCTAAGCTGTGAACATTTCAAGGTCAGCCAGGGGTGGACTAAGAGGGCACAGCTGGTGTTTTTCACACGTTTACACTCATTGAGTTAATATGACTTTCTTCAGAAATCAAACACAGAGGGTAACACATTCTGAACCCAGACCTGTGTTGTTGCCTGTTGTGAGAAAGAAAGAAAGAAAGAAAGAAAGAAAGAAAGAAAGAAAGAAAGAAAAAGACAGACAAAAAGAAAGAGAGAGAAAGAGAGAAAGAAAGAGAAAGAAAAAAGGAAAGAAAGAAAACAAGAGGGAGAAAGAGAGAGAAAGACTGCTGTATATAAAATCCTGGGTGTTGCAGACCAAATTGAGTGTTTTGCCTTGTAAATGCATGTTTAGCAAGCATGAATACAATCTAATTACAGAAGACTGTTTTTAGTAGCTTATTGTGAAGTAAGCCAACCACAGTGAATGTCTATGTCTGGTTTTAAAGTCATATCTGTCTTTGCACAAGCATACCAATCAGCAAGTATATTTTATATATTCCTTAGAAGTTCCCAGTGACCATGACTAGGGCCCAGCTTTGATTCTGCATGGTTTCCCAGAGTCACAGTGGCTGGAGAACAGAACAGGACAGGTTTAAGGGGGTAGGGTCAGCTGGAGGATCAGGAAGGTGACATTACGAGGGGTCTGAGGCTGTGATTCTGGCTCACGGGTGGCAAGAGCGGAGGGAGGCCAGGTGCTTTTCTGAGCAGAGAGCATTGGCAGACTTGGAACAAACAGCCAGGTCCTAGGGACTTTCCAACAGTCCCACCACACTTCTGGCCCAGGGCAGGCAGTTACTGAATTCCCTGTAAGAAGGCAGGGTAAGTGTGTCTGGGTGCCTGTGGTCCGCCGTGGGGAACCCAGCAGAACATCCATCCCTGGGTTCTCTGGTGCAGATTTCTGTTTCTAGCAATGGCAAGACAAACCTGAGTTGCTGCTCCGGCTGGTCCCAGCCAGGCCGTAGTCTCACAAGCCACTGGCCAGGGAAGTCTGACACCAAGGATGGAGGTGGGGACCCGCCTCGGAGGAGGCCAGAGGTCTTCAGGGGCGTTTCCTGTAGGATGGGAGCCACAGGGAGAGCCGCATAACCACCAGGAAAGCAATGTTGTGCCCATTCCAGCCTGTGTTTCCAGTGTGGCTGAGGTCAGAAGTCCGAATGTGTGTGGTGGGCCAAAGTGAGCCAGCTGTGCCAGCCGTCGTAATGCTCCTGTGAGTGTGATTCCTTGTGTCGCACGCACGCCGGGCGAGTGTGAGGTCTGTTTCTGAGAAGTGGGGCACAGCCTGGGCAGAGGAGGGAGGGCCTGGTGTGCTGTCAGGAGTGCTCGGGGCGTTTCACCCCTGTCTGTTCTGGGTCGAGTGTCTGAGCTCCTCTTTGTGGTTCTCCGTGGCAGTGGATCAGTTCTGCGGACGCTCGCCCGGGACCTGCCCTGGGTCCTGAAACCTTGTTGAGTGGCCGGGTGAGCAGCAAAGGTCTCTGGAGATGGAGCAGATGTGTGGCCGAAGACACAGAGCTAGGGCCAAACTGTGCAGCCCTCACCTGGTGGCTGCGTGTTTTCCAGGCCTGTTTTCCTCCCCTCCTCCTCGGCCCATCTAACCCGATACACTCCAGTTTGGCCCCGGAACTGGACAGCCCGCAGAGGCTGGATGGGGCTGGCCTCTGCCTCTGCTGTGTCCAACAGCCTCTGGGAATGGAGTTTGGTGTCCCCGGTTAAACCCCCTGTGTGGCTCCCGAGCCGGACAGTGCTGCAGAATGCTCAACTGCTCACCCGCTAGGCCAGGGAAGGCACCGCCCACCCCACGACGCAGCCCAGGCACTGTCTACAGTGATCCAAGCACATCTGTGAATCCTGTCTCATTGAGTGGCCCTGTACCAGTTGACCTCGTGTAGCTCTTGCCTGGCATTAAAGCATGTGGACTATTTAATATGAATGTCTGGAATGTGAGCTTTCCTGACAACACTGCTGGCCCAGTGGGGCTGTGCTGGAGGAGGTTCTGGGTTTGGGTTCCTGCCCCTCCTGGGGACCCCGGGAACTGGAGTTGTGACTGAGGACCTGAGGGAGGGTGCTGAGCTCGGAGTCCTGTCCCGAGAGCAACCTTGTGTGCTCACAGCTACCCCTTTCTTCCCACTCCATTCCTCGCCCAAACTGGGGTGCAGAGAGCAGCACAAAGGAGGCAGTGGGACCTCTCACACCCAAGCATCCACAAAGCTCAGCGCACGGCAGAGACCACGACCAGGGCCATTTGGATCAAGCTGTTCTGTCACTGTCCTTGGCCCTTTCCCCACCGCCAGAGGCCAATGCTGTGGGAGTGGGGGCCACTGAGGTGCTACTTAGGGTCACTAGAGCGAGCCAGTGGGGCCCAGGAGGGCGCTAAGTCTTCCTACTGCACACAGCTGCCCCGATGGACTGCATGGTCCTGGTGTCCTGTAGTTCTGTGCACCGTGGAGCTGGCAGGAAGGTGTCTGGAGCGGGCCCTGTACACCTAGGATTGTCGGCACATTTCTGAATCCAAGGCCCCTCCCGTTTACCTGAACCAACATCCGGGCTGGCTAAGTCCCACCCCGCCCAGGTGACCCACAGCAGAGGAGGAGCTCTGTTCTCTTGGCCCAGGCAGGAGAGCAGGAACATCCTCCCTGGCGCCCTCTCCCAGCACTGGTCCAGCAAATGGTGAAGAACAGGTGAGAACACAAACCACTCACGCACCAGCACCACCTTCTCGTGCAGCTGGCCAGGCAGTGGCTCTGGAAGATGTGTCTTCCTGACAGCCGTGGAGTCACTGGTCTGCGCTGGTGCGTGGTGCTGGCGGCCACCCAGTGATGATTCTGGAGGTGTGAGCGGCTGGGCAGAGGGAGGAGTTAGTCTCAAGGTTGACCTGGGGGGGCAGTGCTTGCCTCAGTTCAACAAGACTTCTGTGCAGGTTTGAAAATCACTGCAAAGCAGCTCTGCCCACAGCAGAGCAGAAAGCAAGTTCCTCCCGCGGGGTGCACGCGTGGCCCAGGGAAGCCCCTGGGTGTCCGTGGTGGGTGCCCTTCCTTTTTGGGTGCTTTGACCACAGTTCCCGCCTTTCATCCCACTCCCGCCCGAGTCTCTGTATGAACCCAGGTCACCTCATGGAGGAACACAGAGCATGGGGCAGAAGGAGCTCTGGAGACAAAACACCAAGGTAACCAGTCAGGAAACCGCGAATGTCCCTCTCCAGGGAGCTGGCAGCACCCAGGGTGAGCATGGTTCACCTGACAGGAGGACTGGTTGTCACAGGCGGAGAGTGAGAGAGATGGAGGCCACCTGGGTGCCCAGAGTGGCCACACAGCAGGGCCAGAGAAAAGCTGCCCCTCAGGTGGGAACACAGCTCCCAGTACAGAGCCTGGTGGCCCATCCCTGCTCCCTGGTCTCTCCGGCCCTCAGTAGCACCCTCTTCCCCCAGACGTGGGGATTAGAGAAACCTCTGGCCAGGGGTTGGGGTAAATCTCGGAGGCCAATTTCAGCCGAGTTGAAAGCTGTGGCCGTTCACAGACAGAAGGGGAGTCGCTACTTGCCTGGGGGACACAATGGTCACCAAGGAAACCACAGACAGACGGGATGGTGCTCGAGTGTCACAGTGCAGTTGGATTGGGATCATTTGTTTCTCATCCCTAGACAGAGAGACAGCAGCGAGGGACGCGGCCTCCTGCCCCAAAGCCTGCAGGGCCACACTGGTGCCTGGCAGTGTCATCCAGCTGCCCCTCATTAACCCTGGGGGCAGGGAGGTGGATCAGTGCAGCCAGAGAAGGAAGATGCCCAGATGAGAGACCCAGTGCTCCCAGGTCGCCAGAGGTGCCCCCTGCAGGCAGAGTCCCAAACCTCAACAGGAAGCACCAGACACTGCTGTTTGAGTCTTATGTTACGAATATTTATTTTCTTCTTAAAAATGTACAAAAAATAAAATAACTGTATTTATAGTTTATAGATTTCCCCTCTCCCATTTACAAAACTATTAAGTTACATTTGCTTTTTTTTTAAATGTGAGAGTAAACTGTACATAGATCAGTCTCTCGTGCTTGTCTCTAAGAAAGGACCATTCTGAGAATTTGGCACAAACCCTCTATTTCTGTTGCTTTTTCATAATTTTAAATAAGGAGGAAAACAGATGCTTGACTCATCTCGCACTCCCCGAGTTTCCGTGCTGGGAGGTGCCTTAGTCTGTTAGGGACCAACTCCAGGATGTTACCTCACTGCCTTTTCTGTTGGTTCCAATTTCCAAACACCAGGAAAGCCTAAGCAATTTGGGGATGTAGAAGAAAACACTTGCTTCATGTATCCCCCACCTTTTATGGGCTGCCCCCCACAAAGCTTATGTATTCATTGGGGAGTGATTAAAGGACAAGAAAAGGAGGAGGTAAGTTTTTCTATCTTTCCGGAGTGTTTTTCTTGGGACGTTTTGATCACAGCTCTACTAACTTACACAGGGAAGGAGTCACCAAAGCTAAGCGCAGGCACGAGAGTGCAGAGGGACAGAAGGACGGGAGGGCGACACTCTCCTCCGGGTGGGTGGCACCGGCCTCGTCACCTCTGATCTGGCAGCAGTCACCACAGCAATGGCTCAGACTCGGGACAAAGGCGAGAGCGTCTCCCATTTGTCCTTTGCCTTAGACGGGGCCGGCACAGTTTTTCAAAGGGACTGGGTCTCTCCAGGTCGGTGGCTTGTGTCCAGCTGCCACAAATGCGGCCCTTTCCCTGCTCTGGAGTCCCCAGCCCAGCTGAGGGGCCGATTCCTGACCCTGGAAGCGTGAAGTACACGCGCTCATGACTTTCCACCCCTGGACGTGTCCATCTCAGAACTGGCCCCAGCTGCCCGTCCAGGTGTGGCAGCCAGAGTGGGGGAGGAGGGGAAGGCGGGGGCACCGCTGGGACGTGCGGCACCATGGGAGGGTGACGAGCTCGGGGGACCCTGGAGAAGGGCTCCTCAGCCTGCTCAGGCACAGCAGCACCTGCCCTCTATCCCACTCAGTTGCTCCACAGGTCCAAGTCCCTGTTCCAGGCTCCCGGGCTGGGCCTGCGGTGGAGAGGGCGGAGTCCGGGCAGCAGGCTTCCCGGGAGAGCCAAGTGCTTTCCCAACAGCTTAGGCATTGCCGCGGGGTGCGTCTGGAGGCCACGAATGGAGATCTTCAGCCCACAGGGTGGGCAGGAACCACTACAGTGCAGTTTCCAGTGCTCCCCTCTTCTGGGCAGGCCGCCACCCGGCTCCCAACACTGGTGCCCAGGCAGCTGCCCTTCTCTGTCCCCTGGCACAGGAAGAGGCCGGGCTTGGTGCATGGCTCCACCTGCAGCTGGGCTTTCAAGGGTCCCTAGGGATGGAGGGTGCACTGCAAGCTGCCGGGCGTGACACAGTGTCCACAGTGCCAGGACAGCACAGCGCCCCAGACCGAAGCTGGGGAGGAGCTGGTACGCGAGAGAACCACCCAGAAGCCCCGAGGCAGAGTCTGCCTTGGCTCTGTCACAGCCGGGCCCACTGTGAGATCTGAGCAGGTGAGGAAGAGCCCGAGTGCCCGGGGAGGGGGAGGGGTAGGGGGAGGGGTAGGGGTAGGGGCCCGCCCAACCCCGCACAGTTGGAACGTATTCTGGTGACGGTATACACACTACCTACAGGCGCGGGCCACGCCTCACACTCCTCCCCACTGGCAGGGAGCAGCACTCCCTGGACAAGGCCTCGCAGCCAGCCGAAGGTGAAGGGTCCACCTATGACCACTGCCCTGAGCACAGCCTCTCAGGCACCAGGAGCCACACAGAGGAGAGAAAGGGGACGAGGCCCTGGCTCCGGGAAGGCGCGGCCATGCTGTGTCCCTTGAGGGGCTCTGGCCTGGCCCCTTGGAACCAGCGGTGCCTCATGGAGTCCCGACAGCGGCAATAAATAAGGAGCCGAGAGGACCCAGGGTGGGCTGCAGCCCAGGGGGCAGCGGGTGGGTCCTGGCTGCGCCCAGTCCCATCCACAGAGCCGGGCGTGTAACAGCAGTTGTGAGAGGATGGGGGGGAGCGGGTTCCGTTCCAGTTCCGGTCTGGCCCAGCTCTTCCAGGAGCGCAGGCCTCAGATCTCCATGAGCGTGACCTTGAAGCCTTCCACCATGCTCTCCATGTTTAGGACGAAGGTGTCCTCGTTGGAGTAGTGCTCGATGATGTTGTCGTCCATGTTCACCAGGATGCTGCCGTGGGGAACACAGGTGTGTGAGCATAGTGGGCAGGCCTGGGCTGGAGGCTGGGACAGGAGGGTTAGGGGAGGAAAGCCAAGCCTCCCCTCTCAGAGCCACCCTCGTCACTTCCAGGATCACCCAGCCCAATCCTCTTGCTTCGCAGATTGGTAAACTGAGGCTCAGAGCAGTTAGTGGATCCTAACATCACAGCACACACAGTTAGGACCCCTGAGCGTTTCCGCTAAGCTACGAGACCTGAGCTCAACAGGGAGAGGCATATAAACAAGGGATCCACCACCTCCAGGTAACGCACAGTGAAGGCAGAGTCTCTGACACCATTCAGGGGACCCAGGAGCCTCCAGGGGTTCCATCACCACCACTATGCACATGACAAAGCTGAGCCTGGGGTGGCTCAACTGGTCTGGAACTAGCTCCTTCCCACAGCGGACCTGCTCCTTGGCCAACTCCCCTGATGGATTTAGTTTTAAGAAAACAAGAGACTTCCAGAGTTTGTCTGTACTTAGAAGTCCTGGGGTCGATCTCATTCTTGGAGGTTTGACAGATATTAGTTTGAGAATCAATCATGGATTCTATCCAGTTATTTTGCCTTTGGGAGCCTCAGTTTATAATTTTTGCCAAAAATTGGGACAGCACAGCTTTCAGGGCTGTTACTGGGTCAGCAGACCAGGCATGGGGCTAACACAGCTCCCGAAAACGCGTTGTCAGCAGCAGCAGCCACATCCAGGAGACACTCGGCAGGGTCTCTGGGTTGGCCTGGGGAGAACTTCACGGCACACTAAGCTCAATTCAATTCCCTATTCACTCAGAAAGCCCGGGAATCCCAGATCATCAAAATCCTTCAGGAAGGAGGTACAGGGAAATTTAGAGACCCCATATTCTGCTCTGAGCTGAGGCTATGGAACGCTTCCCTAGGACTGAACCCTGTGGCCAGGACTCTCAGACAGCGGCACGTGGAGGCCAAGGTGTGGGCTCTGAGGCCACAGCCCAGGACCCGAGTACGCGTCCAGACGCTTAAGCAGCTCTGGCTTCGCTTCCTCACTGGAAAAGAGGTGCCAATAGATGCTCCCACCCAGAACAAGGAGGGCAGATAGAGGACCACACGAAGAACATTAAGCGGGGGGCGCAGAGCCTACTGAGTCCCCACTGCAGATGTGCTGCTGTTCTGGACAAATGACTGCCTCAGACAAGTCCCGAGGGCCTCGGCCACGCCGGTCCAGATGATACCCTGCAACCAACCCCAAGGGCACAACTCCGCTCCTAGCAGAGGGGCCTCTGCCTGCTCCCCAAAGTCTTCAGCCCGTTCCAGACCTCTCTTGGTCACTGCGAATCCTGTCATTGGAACATGGATATCAGCTCCATGGGGACAACGTGCTCTGGGCCTCTCTCATGAAAGGCTCTTCAGCACCGAGCTTGCGAGCCACTCTGCAGTCCTCCGAGGGGCCACAGGCTGTTTAGAAAACAGAAGTGGCACGAGATGGGCACTATTTAAGAAAAAACGCCAAGTAGGCCCATGTGATTGGGAAGTGAGTTCAAGTTCAGTTTCTTTCTTACCCCTTTTTGCTTTTCTTGTAAAGCTTTGTGATCTTCTCCACCGGCAGCCCGTACTTCTCAGATATCTGCAACGGCAAGCGCAGGGGCTGTGAGCCGAGTCCCCGCACACTGCGGTCTTCCGATGGACTCCATCCCGAGCCTGTGTGCAGTTCCAGGACAGACCTCCGACCACTCCACCCCAGACCCAGGATGAGATCCATGGTGAAAATGGCACTGCACATCAGCCATGAAGGGATGAACTCCAATCATGACGCTGGATTAAACAGGTAGCCATACAGAAACAATCTTCAATCAGTTAATACGGACTTCTCCTCCACTCCTTTCATCAAAGTAAATTTAAGGTGGATCAAAGATTTATATGTGAAAGACAAAACTATAAAAGTACAAGAAGAAACCATAATTCTTTGCAGTGCTGTCATTTTAAAGAAAGACCTTTCTAAGCAAGACATAAAACCTGGTGTAAAAGGTTAATAAAACATAGAATTAAAAATACCAGCGCAGCCAACACCACCATAAAAAGCTGAAAACAACACACCAGGAAACGTTTTTATAACACAAAGGCCAGATATAAAACTAACTTCCTTAAGTTAGAAAGAACTACAGTACATCAAGAAAAAAAAAATCTAACAACTCAATGGAAAAAGAAAGCAAGAAAAAGAAGCAATTCACAAAAGAAAAAAATACAGTCAGACAATAAGCATAAGATGCAATGCATCATTCATAATTTAACATTTTCAAATTAAAGCAACAGTAGTATAGTTTTTCATCAGACTGACAGAAATGAAAAATTAATAATCCAGGGTAGGAGAAATGGAAACTCATATTCTGTGGCCAAGAGAGTAACAAGTTCTATCATTTTTGAAAAGAATTTGGTAGAAACTATCCAAATATAAAGTGCACATGTCCTTTGACCTAGACATTCCATATCTAGTAATCTGGTTTTGCAAAGATTTGAGACATCACTGTTCATAATGCACAGAACATTGGTTAAACACATTCTGATATTCCACAATAGAAAACCATGCAGTCATGAAGAAGATGGGAAGTCTATATGAATTCCCATTTTCAAAAATATCCCTAATAGACTAAAGAAAGAAGATAAGTTTCAAATCAGTAGTTATATACACCATATATATTTGTGTGTGTGTATAATTTGTGTATATATGTATTTAAAAAGTGGCTGAAATACACAATATTTAAATATTTTTAAAACTATCATGTATTGTGAGTAAAGACGCACTGTACGCCTCACTCTGAACACACGTGTCCCATCATTTCGCCACTCTGACGCAGTTCTGGGCGTCTTCCTCGAGTGCTTTTACAAGACATGACAAAAAGGCATGGTGAGCGCCACGGCGGGGCGCCATCCCACAGAAAGGCGAGCTCGGAAAGGCACCACGCTGGGTCCTCGTCTGCCTCATTCCTGGACTTGGCTCTTCCCCAGAGTCAAAATGACCGTGGAAGGTCAACATTTTGAACCAAGTCAGGACATCAAGGCAGCCACAGCAGCACAACTAAAGACACAAAGGAGAACGTCCAGAACTGCTTCAGAAAGTGTCCAGAAAGAACGATGGCGCCAGTGTGTGTGCCATGAGGGAAGGATTTTGAGGAGGATTAATGGCACTGTCTTTTACTGTAATAAATGTTTTCATTTAAGCACTCACTGTACATAGTATATACAACATATTTACAGGACCCATGCACGACTACTGAAGACTGGACAGACAAAAAGGCTGTTTGTTCTGCCCTGTACAATTCTGCCGTTTATTCCGGTTTTACAAGGTCCGTGTCTCTCTCATGAAGTAGTAGTCGCTGAGACACACTCAGATTCTGGGAAGGGCTGCCCCGGATGTCTGCCACACCTCTATTCCTCTGGGGCCAGTGGGACCCACAGGCAGCTGAGGCAGGACAGGTTTGGGACTGGATCACTGAAAGTCTGGCAGAGGCTAGACAGAGAGGCTGGAGAGTTCTAGAACAAAGCTGGAACCACTTTGGATCCTGGGAAGCTCTAATTCTACAGAGAATCACTGATTCCTGTCCCCCAGGAAAAAGTCCCACCTTGGGATAAAGCAGAGGAGCTGGGCCGAGGGTGGGAGCCAGAGGAGGCTGCATGAGCAGCCAGACAGCCTGCCATATGCCACGGAGCTGGCTGATGAGGTCCCTGGCCACCGGCGAGCCCAAAGGCACCCAGTGTAAGAGGTGATGTGAGGGAAGGAAACGGGCAAAGGCACCCATTTGAATACAACACAAAAGAAGCATTTAAGAATACAAAACAACACTCACAAAGAACACTCAGGAAGTGCACAGGTGCAAAACTCTGGTCTAAAACTATGACTATTGAGCTAAAGACATTTTAAAGTTCAGTAGAGGAACTGAAGGATTGATGCCCAAATTAGCAAACCGTAGGGTCAGGAGAAGTCAAAAGATCTTAAAGTGTGAAAACAGAAATACACAAAAACCATGAGGGAAAGAAGAGACCTAAAGAACAGAGGAGGTTTACACAGGATACAAAAATCATCCCAGCCAGAAAAGGAGCAGATGAAGAAGAGGAGATGTCTAACAGAAAACAGAAGACAGACCCATGTTTCTGGATGGGGTGAGCATTCCGAATCCAGGAGACGTAACAAGAAAAGGCTCATACATCGGGTGGCCCAAAAGTAAGGAAAACACTCCTGGAACCTCCAGACAGAAAGCACAAATTGCTGAGGGGGGAAAAGGGATAAATAAACCTGGCTTTGGCCTTCTCAACGGCACCTAGAGAAAAGGACTTCACCGCACAAGTCCCTACAGCCAGCTGCCCCTCCCTTCTCACGATGAAGGGACGGCCTGTGAGAGGTGGGGGTCAGACAGCGTCTAGGCAGGCGGCCTACTGGAGGGAGAGACTCACAACAGGACCCCTCCTGAGCACAGCTGCACGGGGACAGACTGTAACCTGGGCAAACGGGCAGAAGCCAAGAACCAGGGAGGCAACAGAAGCTTTAGTGTGGGAGTGCTTACCTGGTCTGGGAGTGTGAAATACCACCGCTCAACAGGATTCCTGCAGCAGAAGGATTTAAGGCAAAGAAGAATCTCATTGTTTCCCCGGAAAAAAAAATTTTAAACTATTTCATCAAAGTCTAGAAGTTGGGAGGTCATGGGAGCCTTCAATGGAGTAGGTGTTTTGTTTGGCTCATCCTAGTAAGAAAGGGTTTTTCTTTTCTTCTCTTCCTTCCTTTTCTTCCTTCCTTCCTCCCTTCCTTCCTTCCTTAAACGAACTCAAATCCCTGGCCCTCTAGTAAGGAAAGGGATGAAAGTCTCACATTTCAGAGGGGCTAGGGAGCTGGAGGCTGCACGGAGAAAAATAGCTGGAATTTTATTTCAAATAAAAGAAGAGGAAGGGACAGGAACCATTTAGGAAAAGTAAGGACGACTTTTAAATTTAAAAAGGTGAAAACAAGCAATTTAATCTGACTGCAAAACTAGAAAGTAAAAGGAAATCACAGAGCAAAATAATAAAACAAGGGAAGAGATAAGAGTGAAGCACATCAGCCATTCCACCAAATGCAAAAAACTTCATTCTTCCTGGACAAAGCAGGGTGTGTAGTGGGTAAAAAAGAAAAAGAAAAAAAAAATGTAAATCAATGAGAGGAAGAGAAAGAAAGAGAACTGTGTTGGAAGAAAACCACTTCACATGGCGGTGAGCTGAACAGAGGCGTGGATGCCTGACAGAGGACCGACCCAGCAAGCGTGAACAGAACCAAGGCAGGTGTGAGGAGACTGCTGGGCCGGGTGTGAGGTGGGGCCCTGTGGGCAGGGTGGGCGCGGTGTGTGACGGAGAGCCCAGCGCCGGAGGGGGAAGGAAGAGCTGGCGCAGCACCCGAGCCAAATGCCCTGCCGATGACGAGAAGCCCTGACCAGCACACCTGTGACAGAAGACCTCAGAGTGCCTCCCTCAGAGCTGGACAAAGCGAGGAGACAGTACGTAGGAGCGGCGGGACCACCTACTCACTGTTTCGTGTAGCGCACTGAACACTAAGATGTCACAGACACTACGCCTCCCGCAGAGGCTCTCGCGTGCCCTTAGCCACACTGGATCACAGCTCAGCGCAAGGAGAAACCCAGTTCCAAGCTACCCGAGATGTCTAACCGCTCGGAAGTGCCGCGGAACGACCCTGGACGTAGCGCACACCATTTCGCTGAGAAATTTACGTTCCAGGGTAACTGCCCGGGAAGACAAGTCACACCTGTCGGGACAGACAAATGCTGGGAGTTTCCCTGAGCACCCTCAGGCTCGGTGCACCTCTGTAGGGTCGACTCTGCTTTCGTCCCCCGACCCCCGCCAAGCTCCCTCTGGAAGAGTTTCCACTCCCTTCTCCTCCTCCCATGCCAGCCCTGCACGATCACGGGGACCACCCTCGCACCCACAGATCGAAAGGGGCCCACTGAGGTGAGCTGATTCTGCACCCAGAGGGCTCTGAGAAAAGCCTCGCTGAGGGGATGAAGAAAGGAGGAGCCAGGTGTGGATGCTCAGGAGGGGATCCCTGCCTCCTGTTTCTGGGGTTCTGCAGTCAGTGGGGGACAGAGCTGGTGTGAGAGGAGAGGAGGAATCTGCTTCTGCGGTATTTCTGGAGCTACTTCCTCTCTACGGTTGGTCTGAGCCACAACTTCTCAGCCCAGGGGCTACAGATGCCCGAGGAACTCACTGACCTCAAACTGGCATTTCACATTTCCTTCGGCTGTGAACACACAGAAATTCTGTCTTTGTTACCAATGGAAATCACAGGTATTTTCACACCACAGAGTTCTGTAGATACTGCAAAATACTGCTTACACTCACCCATCATGTTTTGAAACTACTAGTTACTGGCCCGTCCCGTCCATGACATGCTGTGGATCATCCTGACAACTGCGCACCATGACCCAGGGGCAGACTGCGGCTGCCGTGTGGCACAAGCTGCTGCCTCTCCAGGGCTCGCAGGGCTTCCTCTGCCACGGCCGGGTGAGCTCACCTCCAGGGCCCTCTCTCCGTGGAACGGTGCCGCCTCCCAGCTGTCAGATGGGGCCAGCAGGGTGCTTAGAGTTTCTCCCTTGTATTTTCCAAGTTGTTTGAATGGAGCACACGCTTACATAACTGTTAAATCCTGATATCTGTGAAGACCCCAGCCTTCCTTGGTACCCAGGAGGAGGCAGGTCTGACGCCTCTAGTCGTGGTGACTCCTTTCTGTGATCTGTGGCCGAGACTCGTCTGAACAGAGTGCAAGGGCAGGAACTTTGGATTTGCGATGGCAGAAGGTGGAGGTCCCAGGTTCTGCAGTGTTGGTGGGGATCCAGCAGAGCGAGGCACAGCCCTGAGGTGCACAAGACAGCCAGCAGCTCTTGCTTGCAGACACTCCTGCGTGGCCACATCGACGTGTGCCCAGGCACAGACTCGTGCAGATGAGGGAGGGCTGCCGTTCTCCCACGTGCAGGAGCCTCACCAGGAGTGTGCTAGCTCTTTCCCAGTCACCCACTCACCGGCCCATGCACGCGTCTAGAGGATTTCTAGGTGCTATTTCCATGTTTCTAACTCACGTAACCTTCACACCACGCCTGTATTCCATTTTTATCTTCACAGTGTCATTCCTTATTCTTACTTCGGTTTCAGAAACAATGACCCTGTGCAGAGACAGACTGAGTAACATGCCCCAGGGTGTTGCACTCCTACAAGGCAGGACCAGCACTGGAGCTTGGTTCCTGGACCTGTCGGGTCACCCACTGTGCCTGCCTGAGTGCTTCCTGCCGCCTCCTCTTCTCTCTGTGGTCCCTCTCGAGTGACAGGAGAGCTTCTTCTCCTGGGTGCACTGTCAGACATGGGCGTCTCCCGGACTGGACTGCAGTTACTCGGGTACCTGGGTTGGCTCCGCCATGTCGCTGGGAGGCCTCTCTGTGTCTCGGCCTGTTTCCCCATGTGATGATGAGGTTTGCCTGCCGTGCTCGCTGATGTACTGCAACGGTTACACAAAGCAGTGCGTGTGACAGCCACCACCAGGGCGCAGCCTGGGGCCCATGTCCAGGAGATGCTGGACTCGGTCAGCAAACATTTGAGCTCAAGACTCTGGTGATGCACAGCTGACAGGAGACAAAGCCCCTGACCCTAGAGCTTTAACTCTAGAGGCGAAGAGACCAGAGACCACCTAACGGGCTAGGGGCAGAGTGACGAAGACGGGAAGGGCCTGGAGGAAGCGTGCGCCCCACACGAGGACACAGATGTGAAGGCCCTGGGACGTGGGTGGTTTTGCTGGGCTCGGGGCTAGTGAGGAAGAGCAGTGTGGGGTTGACCATGTGCAAGATCACTGGTCAAGTCCCTCAGAAATGGGCCTCACAGGGCACCAAGTCCCCTGACCTTAATTAAGCTTAAAACTTGTAACAATCAAGAAGCCCGAGCCGGGCATGGTGGCGCACACCTGTAATCCCAGCACTCGGGAGGCTGAGGCAAGAGGATTGCTGTGAGTTCGAGACCACCCTGGGCTAATAATGAGTTTCAGGTCAGTCTCAACTACATAGTGAGACCCTGTCTCAAAAAAAAAAAAAAAAAAAAAAAGCCCGAGTGACTCATTGGTGTTAACGTGATGCCAAACGCACAGATACAGAGAAAAGTAGCGATCTTCAGAGCTCTATCTTCACCCTGCGGCTAAGCCCCACTTCCACAGAGCCTGGGGCCACCATGGCGTCCCTGTGCTGCTCACCCCAACCCGAATCTCCTAAGGGCACCAAAGCGCTTGCTGTCCGGGGCTCAGGAAGCAAGGGGACAGCTTTCCTTTCCACGCCTGAACAGGAGAGGAAGTCGGACACGCCCTAGGAACCCGGCTCTGCCATAGTTCAATCCTGGGTCCCTGGCAGCATGGCAAGTGGCGGATCAAGCTGCTGCGTGGGGAGTGCAGTTAGTTTAGTTTCATGGTGCAGTAAGATCGCATCCTCAGAAAAGCTGTGAACCTAGCCAGGTGCCCCGGACTGAGAGGGAAAAGGTACCAGCACGGAGGCAGGACTGCAGCCTAACAAACCAGGCTGCTGGGACTCAAGTTACCCACGCCTGGCCCATCACAGGCAGCTTGTGAGAGTCGTCTCCGGGCCCCACCCTGCCCTTCCCCAGGCAGCAGAGCCAGCACCCCCAGGCTGAGGACCAGAAGCCGCCCTGAGCTCTGGAGACGCTGAGTCCCACTGGCCTAGGTCAGTCCCGTCAGACCAGGGTGTGGCACTGTTGAAAGTGGCCCGGGGAGCTCTGAAGATTCCATGGGGTTTTTGAACATTTCAGTCTATCTTCTGAGAGTTTTAGGATCATTTTTAAAAATCGTTCATGTGAAGAGGTACAGATCACAGTGTTTGTCACATTCATTTCCGTTTTTCTTGTTCATTTATGTCGGGCCGACTCAGAGACAACCACCTCCGCAGCAATGAGAAGCCTGGCGAACCGAGGCTCCCTGGGTGTCCTGGGGAGAGCCGTCCCTCTGTCCGCCCGGCTCAGGGACCTGCTAGCAGCACCGGCACAGAGGCGGCTCAGGATGCACTCTGAAAATAGTCCCAGGCCTTACTTTTTAAAGTTCTAACAACACACACACATACATATACATACACACATTATCGCATGGAGTGAATGCATCACTGCGACCACTTTAAAGTGTACAACGCAGGAGCATTTTAGAACACTCACCATGGTCTCTCTAACCCTGAAGCACAGCACTCCCACAGGAAGCCCTTTCGCGGCCCCTCCACTCCTACTCCCAGGCCTCCACGGCCCCCACTGATTCCGGTCAGTGAATGTGCCATTCTGGACATTGCTCGGGAACGGAATCACACATATTTGGCTTTTGCTGTGTAGCTCAGCAGGTCTACTGAGCAGAGAGCACAAGGAATTGGGAACACGCCAGGTCCCAGCACTCGGGGAGGCTGAGGCAGAAGGACTGCAAATTCAAGCCCAACCTGGGTAACTTAATAACTTAGCGAGACCTTGTCTCAAAATTTTTTTAAAAATATATTATTCCAGTGCTGGTGATATAGCTTAATGTGGAGGCCCTGAGTTTAATCTCCAATACCATGAAAAAAATGTTTTAAGGATTGGAAATGGGTGTTTATGCAAAATTTATCCACGACTGCCCACACACAGCAGCATTATTCACAACAGCCAAACAGTGGAAAAAATCCAACATCCATCAGCCGGTGAAGTGACAAACAAAACGCGTATCCTATCCCTACAACAGAATGTTACTCAGCCCGGGGAAGAATAAAGCTCTGGTTTATACTGCAACATAGATAAATGTAAAAAAAAAGTATGCTAAAGAAATAAGCCACAGAAGACTGCAATGCACCATTGCACCCAGAGATGCACCCTGATGCACTAAACGCCGAAAGCGGAGTCCTGCGCATCGCAGATTTCCCAGGCCACCCAGGGTCGAAGACCGTGTGTGTGGGGTGCTCCCACAGAGGTGTGCAGGAGAGGTCGACAGAGCTCCGGCTCCAGGCAGCCTGTTCACGTGGATAAACGTGAATAAAATATGAAATGGCTTCTTGAGCCCACACTGGTAAAACAGGCCAGACCTGGGCCGGGAGGGGAAGAATACCAGATCACCCTGCAGACCCCAACGTCTCCTTCCTCCCGGGGCCACCACGGGGCTGCGGGCCTAAAGGGAAGTGAGCAGGGCAGAGAGGGTCAGCTCACCGCGTCCATGAGGCCCTTCACCGTGGGCGACTTCAGCATCAGCGCGTCGAACACGTCATCGGTCTCCTTCCTCACGTACAGCAGCACTGGAAGACAGGGAGAGCCGTGGGTCTTGGCGGCTGGGGACGGCGAGGCAGGGCACGGCGCGGCCCTTGTGCGCTCAGCTCACTGCACCTCGACACCCCCGCCCCACG